TGCCAACCCGTCCGATGTGCTCGACACAAAGCCTGTCGTGCCACACATCTCTCCGGTTCAGCCACCGCCTCGGACCGGCCTTATGTGGTGGCTCTGGCTTTGCCTTCCCGGGTGGCTTGTCTTCCCACGGACCCTGGCTAGAATGCCAAGATGTTTTTCATGTCTCACGAGGTCGTCAACCACTCAGACCAAAGAGGTTTGGTGCTGAGCCTGCGTGGCTCCCCGTGGCCTCAGAAGAGAACTTCAGGTAGGGCTGGGTTCCACTCCCCGCACTGAATAAAGAGAGTGGCGCACACCTGTAATTCTACACTCAGGGAATGGAGGTGAGGGAGAGCTATAAGTTCAAGGTCATCCTCGGCTGCACATAGAGTTTGAGGCAAACAGGACCACAGAGACCATGTTTCAGAGGCGGTGAGGGACACGGCATGGGGACGACAGACCTACATCGGTTTTTTTTTTTCCCCCCAGCCCAGGAGACCTGCCATGCTCTAGCCGCTGTGTCGTCTCATCCCGGGACTTCCATCTGTCCCTTCGCTGCCCCGGAGTCACACCCTCGAGACCGACCTCCCTCTGGGCTATGCGGCTCCAGGTCCACAGCATCCTCTGCTCTTTGCAGAGCGCGCCGTCTTGATTCGTATTGCTCCAGAAGTTCATGCGGTGAGTTAGTCAGACTCGCCTTTCACGCCTCCTCACCCTTCCTTAGTTGGGAGGCTACTCACGATGAACCCGCTTCTTTCTTCCTGGGGTCTGCCACCACGGGTCGTTAGATTACCTAAGTTATCACTTACTGGTTTGTCTCCCCAGCGAGAATACAGGACTTGTCCCCACCGACAAGCAGAGTCGTCAGATGAGTAAGTGCGAGTGCACCATTACCACAGGGACCTCTGCTTTCGGTGGGTTTCCCCTGCTGTATCTCTGGGCCAGGTATGAGCTCAGTAGTTTTCCATATGACCTTGGGAGGTGGCTACATGTAATTCCATTTTACAGATCAGGAATCTAAGGCTAAAAAAAAAAAAAAAAATCCAAGGGAGACCACACAGCTAGCAGCAGGCAGAGCCCAGCTCCAACGCCAAGTCAGTCGGCTGTCCAAGCCCACATGCCACCCCTGCTCTGAGCCATGCTTGGGCATGATAGGCAGGCTCCAGTGCTGCCTGGGCCTCTGCCAGTGTGTTCTGATAATTATTCCATCGCCACTTACCCACTTGGTTATCAGATTTCATTTATCAGCCCTTTTTGTTTTTACCCTTACAGATTCTGGCTTGTCAAACAAGAACTCTAAGACTTCTTTTACTTACTTGTTTTGGTTTGGGAGTTGAACCCAGGGACCTAATATCTCTCACTTGATAGGCAAGTGCTCCGACATTGAGCTACACATCAGACCCACCGCACCCCGTCTGTGTTCTAGCCACATAGGCAGTTTGGGATGGGGCCGGAGAGGGTACTTCATGGATTGTGCTAAAGTACTTGTGTATTCAGGCTGCCTGGCCCTCGGAGGAGGACCGAGTCTGCAGCGGACCGAGACTGCCACGCACAGGGAATACTTAGGCTTAAGGTGTTGGGCTCATACTCTTGAGATGCAAATTCCTCTGTTCCTGAGGGCAATGAGCAGTGTGGTATTTAGGAAAGAATTTTTGTGGGTTAAATTTAGGGGCCTGAAAAAGTTCGAAGCCAAAAATATTTTTTTGGCAAGTGTCATATAGCATTTCCATCTGACGGAGAATGAGCGACTTTTTCCCTGTGTGCCTGGCTTTTCCACACTCTGTCCTGTGGGTGGCTGGTGCCAAGGGCCCTGCCACCCCTGTGCTGGTAGTTATTTATTTATTGTTTTTGTAACATAGCCCACTAACCACTAAGGTGAAGGCCTCTGGATACTGACAATGAAGGAGGTATATTTAGCTCTTTCCTTGTAAATAATATACCTTTCATTGTTTCTTTAGGAGTCTATGTTTAAAAAAAAAAATCAGAGCTCTTTAAAGTTCTCCTGTCACAGGTCTGGTGTTGGGGGTTGTGGGTGGGGTGGGCATAAATGCCCTTTCTGGATTTCTCCTCTTGCTGGCTGGCCTTGTCGTCTCCTACCCTGGCTCTGTGGGCACCTCCCCTACGGGGAACAGATGAAGTCCTGAGTGAGCATATGTTGTTGACATCAACACGGCCATGTCAAGGACCCCATTGCCTCAGACTCATGGGAAAGGCAAAGCCTTCCTCTGGTCCACATGTGGAAGTTATGGGTCCAGAAAATCTTACCTGCAGCTTCCTCCTCCCAAATGCTTACAGCCTGAGGGTGCTCCCTGATAGGATGGAGCTGAGCCTCCCTCGTTGCTCAGCTGTGTGAAATAAAGCTGCCTCTAACCCAGATGTATAAAATAAACGCCGCTGTTGCTGTTTCCACCAGGGCACACAGCCCTCCTGAGCCCATCTTTTCCATGTGTCTGTGGTTTCTTCGTGCACCATCACCCCAATTAGGTCAACCCTTAAACCAGGCAGGTCATCCTGTTTCTCACTGGGTGACAGCACTACTACTCAGTCACTGTGTCACTTTGCAAGTGGAACTCACCAACCCAGCCCTGTGGGATAGGTCCTTCTCGGTTTGCAGAGGAGGGAACAGGGGCTCCAGAGAGGTTAAATGACTTGCCCAGGGTCACTTACCTGACTTCAACCTGGCTTGTGCTGCTTTGGCTCATGGCATTTGGTACCAGGAGCAAAATAGACCAAGGTATGTGTCTTCGCTTTGCCCTTGCTAGGGCACAGTAAGTAGCAGGTGGGGACTTCTCAGCCAGTTCTTAATCTGTTAAATGGTTTGAGTCCCTTGACACTGACTCACTGGGTAGTTTTCCTTTTGTTTTCCGAGACAGGGTTTCTCTGTGTAGTCCTGGCTGTCCTGGAACTCACTCTGTAGACAGGGCTAGCCTCGAACTCAGAGATCCATCTGCCTCTGCCTCCCAAGTGCTAGGATTAAAGGTGTGCGCCACCACATTTTTTTTTTTTTTTAATGGATGACATGTGACCATAGTCAGCAGTGAACCTGGTGGTACACAAGTCTCCTCAGTGGTCCTATCAGAGTATGTCACTGGGCCCCTAGGCTGGACACAGAAAGCATGCTGAGAAGGGTAAGAGCACTGAGTTGGGTCTGGGGCTCTGGGGCAATGCTGGCTGGATGAAGCCATTACGGACCTCAGACCAGCCCCGCTACGTCTCCAACTCTGTCCTAGACGACAATCATAGCCCTCTTCATGTAGCATTGGTCTGCTCCAGTATTCCCAGAGCTAGGGAAACTGGACCAACCAAGCTCTCCTAACTGCCCAAGATAAGGAAGAAAACTAATCTCAGAGTCACAAAGGGCCACCACGGTGGCTAAGCAGCCGCATCTCACATGTCACAACACTTGGGCACACGCTTGGGCCAAAGCACAGCCCACTGCACAGACACACTTTGCTTCGGGAGACATCTACCGTCCAAGTCACCTCTCCATCCCCCACGGACCAAATTCTGTTTGGAAAACAAACTTCAACATCTCTTCTAAAAGAAAATAACAAAACAAAACAAACTTTACTTGCATTTAGCCATTAATAAATAATTTACAGTATGTACACGCAGTGACACTCCACACAGGTCGCAGACATGTGGACACAGTGAGGGGTCCCCACTTCCAAGCAGAACGTGATCAAACACAACCAAAATAAAGTGCTTCAACTTTTTTACTTCCAACATAGGGATACCTAAAAAACCAGCAGGGAGGAGGCGGGGCCGGGCTGACCCTTTCCAGCTACCCATGTGGTTTTGGCAGGGGTCAGGACCTCTGGGAGGGAGGGGCAGGTTCTGCAGCCTCCTGGCCAGTGTATGAGAGGTCCCTGGGGAGCAGCAGAGGGCTGCTGCATGGGGCTAGGGTGGGCTGCAGGGCCACCGGCTGGGTGGCCCATGGGGCCAGCTGCGCCACCATGCTGGTCCCTTGTGTGGGGGGGGGCTCTGGAACAGCAGCAGAGATGGGAATGGCTCTGGGCTCTGTGGAGGGGTGCTCACCTTGAGCTGAAGGAAAGCTAGGCTCCCCATGGCAGGCCTCTGGCCATGTGGCCGGAGAGTTTCAAGAAGGTACTAGTGGAAGGAGAGAGACCCTGCCGGGGGACCTGGTGCTGGGACGCCTCTTAGACACTGTTCTTTCCACCAAGAAATCCAGGCAAGAGGGCTGGGGCGGGGAGTGGAGCTGCTGACCAGCAGTCAGGGAAGTGTAGGAGGCCGGTGAGGAGAGAGCAGCGGACAGGGCAGGCCAGCTGGCCCTGTCCACTGGGTCTGCTGCTCATGCCCTGAGGCCCCAAGGCCCCTGCTGAGGGGCTCTTATACCCGCTAACAGGGTGGGGAGGCCATTGGGGGTGGGGGGCAGGAACCGAGGATCACTTCTCTGTTGAGACATTCAGAACCAAGCACTTCGATTTCTTAAGTGCAATGGGAGAGGGGCAGAGGGTGGAGCCGGAGATGGGGATCCGAGCTCAGGAGCGGCCCTGCTTAGACCTCAAGCCCAAACATACCTTCCCTCCAACCGGGAGGCTCTGCAGGCTGGTGCCTGGGAACGGCACCTCATATCCACAGTAGCCGGACGCACGGGGAAATCTCTGTGTAACACTGGGTCGGGGAAGGTACCAGGAGGGTGCAGCCTATTGGCCACAAGGTAACGTCCATTCGCTAAAGATGCCAAGCGAGGGCCCTCTGGGGATGTCAGATTGCTAAGGAGGCCCTGCCTAGGGAAAGAACTGCTTTAGCTCCACTAACGTGGTGGCTTGGGGTGTCCCCACGGGCTTAGTGTGTGCGAGTGTGCTTGTGTAACAGTGTGTGCGTGCATATGTGAGGGGGCACACAAGAGGCCCCAGAGTAGGTGTGCAGCAGTCAGCCGGGCCTGTCTCAGTGCATTGTGTGGGAGGGTGTGGGAGGAGCCGACTTTCCCAGTGTCTCTCTGGTAATGGGGGTAGGGCTTCAGCTTACGGGGGGGGGGGGGGGGGGGGGGGGGGGGGGGGCTCTGGTTTGCACATTCACACGGTGGGGGTGGGGTGGAGGGAGCTGCTCTCCCTCTCACAAAACTCTACCGTCACAAAAAACACAGCACCAATCACCACAACCTTGTCGCGTGCACTAAGAGAGAGAGGAGAGCTGTCCCAGGCCCTGAGCCTCGGCCAAAACATTTGAGGACGGCTCGGTACGGGCCATCCTCAGCCAGAGGCCACCTCTGTTGCTGAATGGTGCAGAGAACACCGGGTCCCAGGGAGCCCACCTGCATCCTGTGGCTGACTCCGGGCCCTCAGACAAAGGAGAGGCCAGGGGCGAGAGCCCAAGGCTCCCTCTGCATCCTCTGTGGCCAAATGTCTACCACAACACGGGCAGCAGGGCCAGAAGTGTGAAGGTGCCAAGGAGCCCCCGGGGGGCCAAGGGAGACGCCGCGGCAGCCACAGCCCCTGGCAGCTCCCGAGTCCTTTCAAACAGGTGCAGCTTGTCTTTGTTGGAGTGGAGCACCTTGCCATCCTCCAGGGCATAGTAGGCGGCCAGCGTGAAGTTCACGTCCCCAGTTGTGAGGAGGTCGAAGACACAGGCCTGGTAGTACAGGTCTTCGACGGGCAGCTTCTCCTTGCACTTGGCCACGGCTGTCTCATACGGGAATGTCTCGGGGACCACAGGAGAGGGGCTGACAGCTGCCGGCCTACGAGGGCTCTCGGCGTTGGCACGGAACGCCTGGAAGTCGATCTGCTGGTTGAGCGGGCAGCCCCGCAGGCAGAGGTAGAGGCCTTGGCTGTCACGGTCCTCCACGGCGTTGACCACCTCCTCGGGCATCCTGACAGCAAAGGTCAGGTAGCGGCCCACCTGGCGTACCACGATGGTGGTGCCGATGTACTTGGCCTGGATCTCCACGTGCTGGCCCGACACTTTCTCTGTGATCTTCAGGCTGTTGGCCCCATGTTTATCTCCGCCATTCTTGGAGCCGTCCGCAAATGCGGACGGAAGTTCATCCATCTCCGCTTGGTACACTTTCTGGTCCACACACTCTTGGAAGTTCTTGAAGATAATAGTGAGCTATGGAGAAGGGGACAGAGGAGAGTGGGTTAGGATTTGGGGAGATGTGCCTTAGAGGTTGTAGGGAACTGGGAGGCGCTGTGGACCCGCCATCCTCCATAGTGGTCACAGTTCAATACCAACCACACTGTTGGACACTTAGTATTTTTCTTCCTAACTTTTTTTTTGTAATTGTTTTTTGTTTGTTTGTTTGTTTTTGAGACAGGGTTTCTCTTTGTAGCCCTGGCTGTCCTGAAACTCACAGAGATCCACCAGCCTCTGCCTCCCCAGTGCTAGGATTAAAGGCATGCGCCACCACTGCCGCCTGGATTTTTTATTTTTAACATACTAAAATTACTTAGAAAAACTTTAGTTCGCTACTCTAATTAGAAAAATCAGCTCATTCACTAGAGGGAGGTGAACCATAAAGATAAAATAAAAAACAAAGTTAAAATTAAAAGTTCCAATTAGAAATAAAAGGTCCTTAGTCCACTATGGTCAGGCTAAAATACTGCTCCCCCAAACGTTAGACACGAATTCATTCCAACTCATGAGTGTGGCATACCAAGTGGGGCTTGGTAGATGTGACTGGGTTAAGGACACGGGGGTAGAGACACACTTGGTTACCTGTGTGGGCCCAAGGATAACCACAAGTGTCTGCAGAATGAGACACGTGTTGAGGGAAACAGAGTCGAGAGGGGAGGCAACGTGATGAGGAAGCGGAGCTGAGGGAGGCGCAGTCACAAGTCAGGGGAGGCCAGCAGCACCAGATGCCAGAATGCTAGGAAGGGACAGGCCTGCGGACACCGTGGTTAGCTTGCATGGAGCCCAGCAGCAGGCATTATGGAGGGAGGGAGGCAACGCTCGGACAGATGAACGGGCAAAATCCGTGCAAGCGAGGACAGAGATCTTGGCTCCGAGGCAGTTTTGGGGGTCACTTCAAAGCTGGGGAGGAGGAAGAATAGGGAAAGGATGAAAAAAAAAAAAAGCCAGAGGCTTCAGGCTGTGGCTGCAGCTCCCACGCAGGCCAGAGCAGGGAGGTCATTTCCAAATGGAGCCTGTGGCCTACAGGTGAAGGGCTGGGCTGGGCTGCTTCAGGGGAGGCAGACTGTTGGGTAGGGTCAGTAGTAAGTGTCCGGAGAGCCCCAGACACGTCCTGTGTTTGGCATTCCAGGCACTGCAGTTATTATCCTTAGTCTCCTGTGGCATTCCAAGGGCAGGCGATACCCCCAATGTTACAGATGCTCAGAGAGCTGCAGTAACTTACTCAAGGTCACACAGCCACAGAAAGCAGGACCGGGATTAATAACCTCTTGGACAGTGGTTCTCAACCTGTGGGTCGTGACCCCTCCACCAAACCTCTATCTCTAAAAAAAATTTGCATTACAGTTCCTAACAGTAGCGACATGACAGTTTACGAGGTAGCAACAAAAAAAATTTTATGATTGAGGGGTCACCACAACTTGGGGAACTGTCTTAAATGGTCGTGGCATCAGGAAGGTTGAGAACCGCTGCTGTAGGGTCTTTTGGCCACTGGCGCATAGGGTAGGAGGCTGGGCAGCTTGGGAAGGGGCCGAGTGTGATTTTTCCTGCCTGTCACCCTGGTTGAGGTGTCTGGTTGTTTTCCAGGGAGGATGCCAAGCTGGAGACACAACAAGACTGTGAAAAGGATGGCCCCCTCCTGCAGCTGCTGCTAGGAACCAACCACTCAGCTGTGGGAAGAGGTGGGATGGGGAACCGGGTACACAAGGGCAGTGCCCATCTGAGGGCAACCAAAACCCGGAAACCCAGCCTGAAGCCATGGCGGGAGGTGGCATATGGGCGAGGTGACACCCAGAGTTGCGGGGGCTCGCTGTCACCCCTCCAAACCCTCGTGTTATCCCTTCCCAGGCTCAGTTACCATTCTCCTCTCTGTAGAACGACGCTCACTCCTCATAGAGAGGGGCCTGGCTAGTTAGCTGATGGGACTCCAGGGGGACACTGCCCCCACTTCTACCCCAGGCGATCTGCTGGTTTAAGGGACCCAAGGAAGGGAAGCAGGTTGCTGAGGACACATGAGGCTTGACTGAGGCTGGATGCTCTCTACCTGGCTGCTCAGGAGGTACGTGTGGCAGCAGAAAGGGCCATGATGACAGCCTCAGAAGGCTCACAGGGTCAAGGGCAACAATCCTGGGGGTGCTAAAGGAATCTCTGGCCCAATAAGTGTAAGGACCAGAAACCAGAACCATTCTGGTGGGGACCAGAAGTAGATGAGTCAAAGAACCTAGGCTCAGAGCCACAGAAAGGCCAGATGTGAGGACTGGGGGTGGCAGACAGTGCCTGGATGCAGCCCCAGATGACCAGATCTGCAAAGAGCCTAGGAGGCCCAGGTAAGCAGAGTGTCCTCGGGCCAGAGCAGTGGAACCTAGTGGCTTCTGAGCACTTGGGCTGAACAGGCTGACAAGTATTCAGAGCTGCTGGAGGAGTCCATTGTTCTGTGGGTCCCTCATGCTAACCAGGTAGTAAATGGTGGCAGCCAGGGGTCCTGGGACCTGAGAAGACACAGAGCCCCGTTGTCACACTGTACCATAGGCCCACAGGCCGGAGTGGTGAAGGGACATTAGTAGGGTCATTAGTCAGGCTCCATGTGACTCTTAGGAGTGGGTACTCTGGCTTTTGGGGGTTGGGTGGGTTCCTTACTCTATAGAAATACTAAAAATCAAACCAAAATGATAACAACAACAAAACTCTAAACAATATCCACCCCACCTCCAATCAATCAACCAACCCAAACCCCAAACTTCTATTCCAACGTCTTTTAGATTCTATGTGTAGAATACAGTCTGGACTAGATCATATTAATATCTTCCTTCTGACTTTAAAAGAACCAAGAACCTTCTCCTATGTTACCTCGGGTTCAGGGTAGGGTGCACCTAGTATGAGGAGGGGACTGGCCCCCTCCTACTGCCTTGTGAGAGAAAGACCCGGGAGGCCTGAGTCCCCAGAGTGTGAGCCCTGTAGGCACTGGCTACACCGTTTCCTAAGCACAGGACTCCACTTCCTGCTTCCCTCCCTAGGGCTCCCGTTTCCAGCATGCACAGGGATGTCAAAGGAGGCTGGAGCCTGTCCCTGATGCAGAGCCGTAAGCCTTGGACCACAAGAACATGAAGCAGTTCTCCTGTCCCTGACCTAAGAAAATCCGACTTCATATGGTCCGCCCGGCTTCCCCTTTTCTTCCCGGCCAACAGCTTGTCCACTGTGGTGTGGAGGCACCTGCAGGGATGAAGGTGGCCCGGCCAGGGTGGTCTGGAAGTGGGTGGGCCTGCCACTGGAGGGATGGCAGGGTGCACTCTCGTTTGGTGTGCAAGGCCACACAGACATGGGGAAGGGGGCTCCCGCCTGCCAAGTGTCATCACTGAACAGGAAAGGCTGGTTTGGCTCGAACCGCTGCCATCTCTCATGGAGACAGCCTCCTGGAAGGCTGACAGGCTTGCCTGACTCCCTGGCGCTTGTGCCAAGGAAGCAACCACAAGTAACAACATGAAGGGGGCCTGTCGAAAGCCTGGCGGCCGGCTGCCAACCCACCATGCATGGATGACTCTCTGCCTTTGGTATCCTCCTTCTCAAAGGGCCCCCCGGACTTCTCAGTGCCTCCCCAATATATACACGAGAGAGAGAGAGAGAGAGAGAGAGAGAGAGAGAGAGAGAGAGAGAGAGAGAGAGAGAGAGACAGAGAGACATAGAGAGACAGACAGACAGAGACAGACAGAGACAGACAGACAGAGAGAGTAAGTACGTGATGTAACAGGCTTCTGAGTGCTAGGGGGAAATAAACAAGGCTAAAGAAGGTGGGGGATGGTAGAGAGCTGAGTTCCTGCCCTCAGAGCCTCAGTTTTCCTTGCCTATAAAGTGGGCACCACCAGCCAAACTGGGAGGAGGCAGTGGAGTGGGATGCTGACTGACGAGTCTGTCTGTCTGTAGAAAACCCTCTCTCTACTGCCCTTGAAGATAAAGGGAGGGGCCAGGAGGGCTAATGGCGGTGCCCTGGGAATGTACAATAGCCCCAGGTGAGGCAGTGTGTATGTGGGGCCAGACTTCCTGCACGCGGCTTCCACAACAGAGGGTGAGCAAGGCCCCCAGGTAGGGGCTAGGCTGCTTCTGGGAAGTAGAGGAGGGGGGTGCAGGGGGAGGGTGGACATGGCTGGAGCTGGAGTCTAGGCTGCAGTGAGAGGAGGTTCCCAGAGACTATACTGCTCTGGGGGTGAAAGTCTCTTACGTCCCTTGCTTCCCTATGTTCCCCATCCCTTGGCTGCCATCAGGAACTTTCACTGTCATCTGGAGCCAGCTAAGAGCCGACCCTCCCAGTTTCCCCAGGAGTGCCAGAGCCAAAGCATGCTGCTGCCCTAGCACCCTGTGTTGGGCTGTTGGCATGAGGCAGGAGCTGCCAGCAGGGAGGGCATAGCGTGGCACTAGGAGGTGGGATCAGAGTGGCGGGATCAGACAGACAGACAGACAGACAGACAGACACACACACACACACACACACACACACACGCACACACACACACACACACACACTCGCGGAGCCAGAGGCTCCATGAACAAGCAGAATGCCAGGGCCGTGGAAACTGGCCACTGAGGTAAGCTCATCTGGGGCCCACAAGGCTCCCGGTCTGGTCCTGAGTCTTGAGTTTGGCTTGGCTACAGATACCAACACGGTCACTGTCTGGTCTTTGGCAGAGCCAGGCTGATGGGGTCTGAGAGCTCTCTGCCTGCTGAGATCGAAGGTCTGGGTCACGGAGGAAGGAGGACTGGTCTCGGCAAGCTCTGCCACACAACCCCATACCATTCCGGAAACCTCCATGCTGGTCTGGGTAGGGAAGGCCTCCCGCTCTTGCTCAGGCCGTTCTTTGGTGCCAAGAGGCCTGCATCAAGGCTGCATGAGAGCGGACCTCTGAGAGGGTGTCGAACGAAGCACAGGAACAAACGGACAATTAATTCCCTAGCCTTGCGGACAGCACTACCATGTCGAGCGCTGGGGTCTAGGTGTACCCCAGCCCGGTGTTTAAAGGCCAGTCACGCTGCCTCACAGTACGCTGCCTCACAGTACACCGCCTAAGTTCCAAGGCGGCAGAAGTCCAGGCCCAGCCTCCTTCATCACACACAGATCTGTGTTTGGGCTCTGTTGTCACACTGGGTGATGATACCTTCTTAGGTCAAGAGGAGCAGCAGCTACCTTGGTCCTCATCCTTCATGCCTTATATCCTCAGGTCTCCCTGAGGACCTAGATGCCAGCCCTCAGGAGCCCACAGACTGGGGCAGGGGGACTGGGTCTATTCCAAAGCTGTGTTTGTTGCTGCATTTAGAAGCTGCCGCCTCAGGCTCCCAACATTCATTTACCTTGGCTCTGGGGAAGGAGGGTGGTGAGCAGCTGAATGCTACAGGAAGGTGTTTGGATCCTTGCCTGGGGCACCCTGAAGTCTTCTGAGGAGCAGGAGGGTGTGCGTGTGGGTGGGTGGGGGGTGCTCTGGCCTCGCTGACCTCTAGGCACCATGATCTAGTACTCTGAAAGCTGGTAGGGCAACCATGGTGAAGACCCATCTGCTTCCTACCCACTAGGAAGGCCCAGAAAGAGAACTCCTTTGGTAGGTCAGGGCCACCAGAGTAGAAGGAAGTGGTGGCGATGGAGCATTTTTTTTTCTGGCTGCCAGGTCACCTCACTGTCCTCTTCTAGGGTGTGGCAGGGAGAGAAGAAACAGAAACAGCCTTGTGCGCCAGCCTGGCCCAGTCTAACATGTGGACTTCCAACACATTCCTCCTGGGGAAACAGACCCACTGTCTCCTAGCCAGCCTGGAAGCCCCAGGGAGCTCTGGTGACGGGGCTGGCAGCACAGAGGCCAGGCACTGAGGAGGGCAGACATGTCCCCACTGCCTGACAGTACTCTCCCCTCACCTTGATAGCTTTCTTACCTCCTGGCAAGTCTGAGGTCACTGGAGACACTCCCCTCTCCCGGCAGAAGGAAGCAGGGGACAGAGATTCTGGGGTTGGTAGGAATATCTCTCTGCCTGGGAAATGGGGCCATGACTCTTAGGTGTTTCAGGCACTGGCTTGGGAGCAGGACTTGAGACCTGCCACCCAGACAGGGAGCCCTCCTTGGATTGGAGAATGAGTGTGGCCTTTAGCTGGCTCCACGGCAGTGGAGAACATTCCACGCTCAGGAGTTTTGGGTGGGGAAGTCCCTTTGACTCCTGGAACCTCCTGTTCGGTCAAAAGGAGCTACAATAGCCAGAGAGGGCTGGCCCCAAGGAGGAGGAGAGAGGACTTCTGGATGACCCCTGGAGTACTCTGTTAGGCTGGTCCACACTCCATTCTGTCTTCCCCCATTCCAGGCACTCAAGGCTCTCTTCTCCTCTCAGGGTCCAGATAAGTCAAGGAGACACAGGGCAGAACTCCACCCAGTAGTTTAGGCTGTTCATCTATCTCATCCCACAGCCCTGGCCTCTGAACCTACATAAAAACTACTGAATGATCTGTTTGTCTCTTTTTTATTTTTGAGACAACGTCTCACATAGTCCAGACTGCTTTCAAATTCATTATGTAGGGTAACCTTGAACTAATGATACTTCTGCTCTATTTCCTAAGTCCTGGGATTACAGGGACGTGTCACCATATCTAGTTCTATGTGGTGCTGGGGACTGAATGCTGGGCAAGCAATCTAAGGACTGTATCACATCCCCAGACTCCACTGAGAGCTTAAAACAAAACAAAACAAAACAAAACACACACACACAAAACCACAACCAACCAACAACAACCAAAAAAAAAGAAAAGAAAAGAAAGTCCAACCCCATCACTCATCGAAGTGGTCCAAGCAGCCAGGAGGCGTGCATGCATCCTGGAGCAGGGATGCAGAGAGCAGTACTCTCACCTTCTACAGCTGCTGCATTTATAAATGCAGCCGCAGAGGCGGCAAGGCCACTGGTCCAGAGAGAGGAACACAGACCAGACTCCTCTGATTGGATTTTAACATGTTTCTACCAAGATAAGAGTCTGGGGGTGAGACTATTCCAGAGGCTTGACAATGAGTGCTTGGGGAATATTTCTGAACTCTGTATTTATGGATTTATGTTCGTATGTGAAGTGTGTCTGAGTCCATGGATATATAGGGGTCAGGTCAATATAGGTGTCTTCCTCAACTAGTTCTCCTAATTTGAGGTGTGTGTGTGTGTGTGTGTGTGTGTGTGTGTGTGTGTGTGTGTGTGTGTCTCTCGTTGAAACGGAAGCTCATCGATTCAGCTAGACTGGCCGGCGAGCAAGCCCAGGCAGGGGCTTTTTGTCTCTGCCTTCCCACGGCTGGGGTCACAGGCCTGTGCTGCGGCATGGCTTTCCGTGTGGGTGCCGGTGATCTAAACTCGGTCCTCACACTTGTACGGCCAGCACTTTATTGACTAAGCCATTTCTGCAGCGCCCTCTGAACTTCTGTTTTTAGAACTACAAGGACAGTAGGAAATCCATTTCACATCTTCACCTGTGAGGCACATTTGGACACACGTAAGCACATATATCAGGAGCGAAGTCTCTCAAACATTTACTGTTACCGTACCCAACCTCACTCAGAGATGGCTTTTCGTATCTGTGCCACGCTAGGCTATTCTTACTCTCGTTTGCTTAATTAAAGAGTGTACGTGTTTAGGGCTAAGCACTTGGGGACTAACCTATCAGGGGCTCAGCCCTGAGGAGACCGAGTCTTCCTCTCTCAGCAGCTAATGATTGCCTGTATACAGACAACACTAAACGGATCCAGTAGGTTGTGTATCATACAATATATACCACAATAATTAAAGAAGAGGCCAATAATTTGAAAGGTTTGGGAGGGACACATGAGTTGGTGTGGGAAGAGAAAGGGGTAGAAATGATTTAAATACAGTACTCATGTATGAAATACTTAGAGAAGTTGAACAAATAAGCAAATAAACCTATATATTGTATATGCTGATTTCCCGCACCAGAGCAGGGGTGGGGGTAGGGGTGGGTGGGGGGTGGTCTCATGACTCCTTGTGAGCAATGTCCAGAAGTCTGAGAAATGCCACACTAGAGGCAAAAATACAGACATAGTTGTAAGTTGGTTTATCTCCAGACAAGGAATCTCCAGAACATTCCTTTCTAAACCATTTGCCTCTTTACTGACTATAAGAATCCAGTGGGGCCCAAGTCATCCTGGCGCCAGCAGAGCCTGAACACTGTGACCCCCGCCCCCCTCTCCCGCAGGCCTGCCCCATCCTTGCCATAAACCCCTTACCTTACTGGTGGCGGGTGGCGGCAGAGCCGGGCAGCACAGGTGTGTTGGTGACTTGCACGTTCAGGTAATTATTGTCGATGAGCGGCCAGGCGCCTTGCACCTTGCACGTCTGGAAGTGGTCTGTGAAAGTCCTGAGGTGCGGGTCCCCGAAGAGGCCGCAGTGAGTGTAGTTGGGGGCAGCTGAGTGCTTGTGGAAACTCTTCTCATAGTGGCAGATCTCGGGGCTATCCGAGCGCTCCTGGCTGTCCCCAGCGGGTGGGGAGCGTGCGCAGGCGTGGCTGGGAGGTGGGGCCGTCCTTGGAGCAGTTGTGCTGGCTCATGAGGTCCTCTATGCCATGGACAGCCGAGTGGTAAGCCAGATCGCCTCGGCAGGTGCGGGCTGTGCGCCGCGTGCACAGGGCGTAGGTGCGCAGGGCCGCGCAGAACTCCGGTACGTCGTCCGAGGCGGGGACGTGGCTGCCCGACGTGGCACTCCAGAACTCAGAGTTGCACTTCAGGATCTTGCAGGGGGTGACGGCTATGGAGAAGAACAGACGCGCCATCATATTGGGACCCTCTTCTATAGACCTCTGTGGGTTAGAGGTGCGGGGAGACCTCACCTAAGATGCTGCGACCTATAATACATGTCCACTGATAAGTGAACTGTGGAGTAACTTGCCCTATCTAGCCTTCCAGATTTTTCTGCATAGCCCGCTACGGTGAGCAGAGTCCAGGCACATGGACCAGATTGCAGAAAAGGGCCAACATTTGCATTTAGCCGGATGGTGATGGTTGACTAACCATCCTTGGGCATTAAAAAAAAAAAAAAAAGCCAATACATAAGAAAGCTAACAAATAAACTAACAAGATACTCACTTATACTTCACCGCTACCTCCAAGAATTCTAGCCAATGCCTAGCAAATGTGATATGTGATAGGCATTTAAACCCTACTGTTAAATATGTGCCCCAATTCCTGCTACCATGAGACCTTGCAGAACTCTCTACATCTTTACACTCATTTGAAATAAGGAATAACAATACGATCTACTGTGTGAATGTGTTGAGTGTTAATGATTTATCTTACACAGCCATGGGGCCAATAGCTTTAAGTGTGGAAACCTTATCAATCAATGCATTCTCCAGTCCCACCACCAGGGCAGAACAAAGACATAATACCAAACTGACTTCAACTTTTCCTGGGGGATCCTTCCTGTCACACCGAGGGACTCTGCCACAGGTCTTGGTCCTCACTCTCTGGAGGTCCTCGGTCCTGAGCTCCCAGGGACTGTTTCTTAGGGTGGGCAGGAAACACTATTAAATTCAATCAGTGTTGGCTGCTATGATGATTGTATCCTGTCACAGAGGAACCAGCTTCCTTGGTCATCTCTCTCTTTCCTACAGTCTGGGAAGCTGATGGAAAGAGTCACCTTGAATCTGCTCTAGTTATTGTTATTGTAATTTAGGAGGATGTGTTTGTGTGTGCACCTGCACCTGCCACGGCTTACATGTGGAAGCCAGAGGACATCTTTGGGGAGTTGGTGTTTGTGTGCTACCTTTTTGAAGCAGGGTTTCTAGCTAACTGTTCCTGCTATGCTTCCTACTCCAGGCTGGCTGGCCCATGAGATTCTGACAGACCCCCCTGCACCCCCATCTATCTTTACTTCTCATCTCTCCATAGTGGTGCACTGGCATTATAGACCTGTGTGTGACTGTGGAGCTTCTTGCATGGGCTCTGGGGATTGAACGGGTTGCTAGGTTTGTATGTCACGCACTTACCCACCGAGCTACCTGGCTGGCAAATAAAGTCATTCACAAACCTTGAGACCTTAGAGATGGCCATGTCTGAGAACTGAGGCTTTAACATACCTACACCTTGTGTCTGGACATAAACAATCTAGCCTTTCCTGGCCTCCTAGATTCTTCCACACAACCTACAGTGGCGATGAATGGTCAGGCATATGCCCATGCAGCAGGATCAACGTTTCTATGCAGGTCCTAGAATAAAAGGGGCTGGAGGTCCAGCCAGAAGGTCACGGCCCAATGCTGGCAAGGGAGGTATCAGAAGGGAAAGGGGCTGGACCTGGGTAACTTGGCTTGTAACCTTGAAAAATTCAGTTTGTTTCTTTTCTGCCGGATTTCCTTTGAAAAATCAAGGTTCACATCAAAATGAGAAGAACTCTTTGAGGGTAGCCTGATGGGAACACTTACTCCTCCCAGTAGGGCTCCCTGGGAATACCTTTGTTTTTGATGTGTGCCTGCCGGTCTGCTATGGAGCTCTGACCTACTTAGGGGATAGGAGTGCTTGCACTCTGCTCCTAAAGGTGTCTATGCCAGGTCTTACACCTGAGCTGTGGTGGTCTGGATAAGAATGATCCCCATAGGCTCATGTATTCGAATGCTTAGTCACCAGGGAGGGAAACTGTTTGGGAAGGATTGGGAGGTGTGGCCTTGTTGGAGGCATGTCACTGGAGGTGGGCTTTGGGGTTTCAAAAGCCCCTGGAAAGTCCAGTCTCTCTTTGCCTGCTGCTTGCAGATCAGGATGTAAAGCTCTCAGCTACCGCTTCAGTACCATGCCTGTCTGCTTCCTGCCATGATGATCATGGACTAAACCTCTAAACTGTAATTGAGCCCTCAACTAAATGCTTTCTTTTATAAGAATTGCCTTGGTCATGCTTCTTCATAGCAACAGAACAGTGACTAAGGCACGAGCTATGGAGAAGTCAGTCTCCATCTTGAGACTCCGGGTCTAGGCTCAGACTCAGGCTACCTGTGTTTTTGGTACCTTTAGTAAACAAGTTCATTTTGGTTGGTACCTGTTGAACATGTTTTTCTTTTAGTTTGAGAAGCTATGTATTTATTTGAGCATTAGGGAAAACACTGGATAGAAGAGTTACAGTTTTCCCATTTGTATAGCTTTATGTAAATGGAAGAAGGCTGACTTGTATCAGACCAGAGCCAGGCAGGGTGGTGCATGTTCAAAATCTGAGCGTTTGAGAAGCAACAGCAGGAGGGTTCTGGGAGAATTTGGGTGACACAGTGAGACCCTGTCTCAAAACACAATTGAACAAAATAGGATCGGTCCATCAGCCCAGGCCATTGGTCCATTGGTGCCTGCTGTGTAGAGGGATGGCAGCCATGGAGCACTGTGAGACTCCACAACGTGCAGCCTCCTGGAATCCATAAGATGTGATCCTGATATCCACAACCTGTGGTGCCTGAGGGTCTGGTTCATGTGGACACAGAAAACCCTGGGTGTTGCCCCTCCAGATGGTATGTGGGAACAGGGGCACACAGGAACTGTTGTGGCCACCTGCCCTTCATCTTGGCTCCAACGGCCTCTGACTACCCCAGTCCTGGGAGTAGAATGCTGGCTTGCTGTTCCGCTGTCTCAGAATCACGAAGAGGGGTATGTGAGAAAAGCACCAGACATGGCGTCTGTCGTGACTGGAGACTACACTTGGGTTCATCTTACCTCATCCTCACCATGACGGAAGAACAAAGGGTGGAGCCCCTCGACTACCCATGCCCACACCCTCCTTCAGAGCTGACCATCTCCAAATGGGGCCGGTGGCACAGCTGTGGCTGACAGATGGCAGCAGGTCACTCTTCTTACACCCAGGAACCTAGGCCTTCCGTTAGCTCCCTACTCCTGGGTAAACTCCAGGATCCTAAGTGGACTTCTTTGCCCCATTTACTCTGTTTCTCAGCCATGTGGCGAAAGTTCTCTATGGTTGCCCAGGACAGAGGAAATAGAGAGGTCTGAGGGTCACAGTGGCATGTGGGGTGGCAGGCAGCAGAAGGAAGACATTGGGCTCAATTTCACTTCTCAGAGTAGTTGTGAGGACCTGACTCTGCCTCAGTTTCTTTATCTGCAAAGAACTTGCCTTAAGGGCTGGCTTCAGACTGAATGATATGCTCACAGCATGAGTGAGACCCAGGGGGCGTGCAATAAACGGGGGTCCCAGCCTACCAAAGGGAGGGGCACAATGTGCCCAGGCTAGAAGTGATGGTAGGAGATAGAAAGGGTGGCGGTCAGTCCCCCTCCTCTTCAAGCCCCGCTTTCCACTGGGATTTAGCCCTTCCTTCCCCTTCCCTGCCCCCACAGAGGCCTGAGCTGCACTCCTGAGCTCAGTGGATCCCCCTCCCCACCCTGACTCATATTACCCAAGTTGGGCAGCTCCTTCAATCCAGTGACCGTTCATACTCACCCTAGACCACCTCAGGGCCCAAGTGTCTAAGGGCCACACTTTCCACACACACTGATGTCGTCAGACCATCACTTTCCACCTCCCTTTCACCACGGTGTGTGCTATCGATTGAACACCTCCCCCCCACCCACCCACACACACACAAATGAGTCCCAGTCCCCAAGATAACAGCCTTTGAATTATGGCCTCTGAGACGCGTCTAGGCTTAGACGACACTATGACGGTGGGGGATGCCATCATGCCATTAGTGTCCTTACGAGAAACACCAGAGCTTGCTCTCTCCCCATTACAAGAAGATGTTAAAGAAGTCGGCAATCTGCAAGCCAGGAAGAAACTCTCCCTGGAACCCAAGCTGGTTGTGTTGACCCTCCTTCTAGAAGCATGAGAAGTAAATGGGAATTGTGTATGACTTCTGCCAGGTGGTGGTGTTATAGGGCCTGCATTGACTGGTACAGAGATTAAAAACCTTACCCTCCCGCATTTCCTGCCTGGGTCCTCTTTATAAGCAGCCATTATCAATGGAGGTATCATCTAGCCAGGTATCAAAGGTCTAGGCAGATTTAGCCTCACATGCTCTGGTCTTCCATCACTTCATAAACCTGTTCCCAGGGTGACCCAGGCCTGGCATCATTCCCTTGGCTCTGCAGAAAGACAGGGTGTTAACCAAGAAATGGCGAGTAAGCTCTTGCCCCGTCGGCCCGGGTGACCTATGGCCCAGTCTGATTCAGGGTACCCACTTCCTGCTTCCACAACCCTACCCTCCCTGGAGTTTTCGTGGCTCCCCAAAACGCCACCCCCACTTGAAGGATGGAGCAATCAGAAGGGCTGGGATCTGAACTTGCGAAGTCTATTTCGTCTTTGCTAGTGAGCAAATGAAGAAACCTTGGACTCTCTGCAAGAAAGAAAAACAGGGACACTTGCTATTTCTCCACCCAGAGAGACTCGGGGGAAGAGACTGAGTGTCAAGCCAACAGCAAGTGACAGATTTGTGTCACAGGCAATACCTAGCTAGTCTCACAGAAAAGGGGGCGGGGCACAGCTTAGGGGGGCACTTGGGGTTTGGGACAGGCATCCAGGTCAAACCTGCAGTTGCGTGACCACCTTGAGCCACAGTCATGCAGGGGGGTGGGGTGGGCAGGGCCAGAGGTGCTGACTGGGCAAGTCTGCAGAACTCAAGAAAGAGGCTCCTTGGAAGAGGTTTGTGCTGTGAACTTTGTTCAACTGTCGTTAGCACTACTGGTGTGACTTGGGGACTCACCACGGCACACCAGATGTGCCCACACCGCCTTTAATTTTGCCGTGGCTCCAGGGTTTACTATTGCCCTCCA